GGGGGGGGGGGGGGGGGGGGGGGGGGGGGGGGGGGACAGGGTAATCCTGACATTTTTTGCTTGACTAAAGCAGTTCTTACAATTTTGTTTGTAAAAGGTAAAAAATATTACATGGGGATCTTCAGTGACCTGCATTTTTTTACAGTATACTTGGTGATATCTTTTATACTCTTGACTTCCCTTCATGAATTGAGAACTTGATTATCTGACTGTCTAAGTTTATCTCATCTTTCCTGGTGCATATAGTAACTCAGAATGGAAACTTGTCTCAATGTGAATGTGTCTCTTGACTGTCTTACCCAGACCTGGACTATTTACCAAGATTCTACTTTCTTTTTCAGGTTTGAAGCCATTCAAGTGTGACATATGCCAGAAGCAGTTCACCCGGAAGTACCATTTGGACCGACATCTGGTCCAGACCGGGTGTGATGGAAGCCCCAAACCCAGTCATCCTTGCCAAGTATGTCTCCTCTTCCCTGCCCACCTTTCCTTTACAGCTCTTGCTTGGATTTATGATCAATAATTACTTGTAACAGAATTCCTATTCCTATCTTTCCATGCAGGAAAATAGCTGTAAGATGAATTTGCAATTATTTTCATCGTAGATGTCAAAGATTCACATCATAGTCATAAATGCTTGAGTCAAAGAATGGCATTTCTCATTGCTCCTACATATTTATGACGTACTGGATGATGGATATTTACACTTAAGGAGAAAATAGCAAACTGAATGATTCTGCTGCCAAATACTAGAATTGAAATCCTAGCATTCAGCTGGAGTTACTGACCTTTTTTTAAAGTCAGTTTAAGTTTTAAAATATTACTGACTGATCAGTAATATTTTAATTCTTTCATGCAGCCTTCCTGGGATGGAGATGGGTGAGTTGACAATGCAACAACCATTCCAAGAAATGTTGTAGATTCCTAGTGATGGAACTTCTTTGTTTTCTCTGTTTCTTAATTTTGTAGTTGTGGAAAAATCGTATTCATTCCTTGCAAGATGATGGTCTGTTCTGAGTAGCTTTTATTGGTGCACAGGTGTGTGGAAAGATGTTCACTCGCAAGGACAACCTGCGAGAACATCTCCGAGCCCATGCCGGACAGGTGAAGGAGCGCAAGACCTATACATGTGAAATCTGCAACAAGCAGTTCAAAGGGGCCATCACCCTTCTTACCATACATATGAGAACCCATACAGGTTGGTCTCACAATCTTCTTACAGAATAAGGACCGAACTATTCACCTCTTGAGTGGGCAGATTTTGCAATATGCAAAATGTTGTCAGGCCAAGGCTATTTTTCTCTGGTTAGTACTGTGTCATCAGGGAGGTGAAGAACCCATTTGTTGAATATTTTTGTAATATTTATTGGAAAAGTGAACCCTGTTTTTCTTAAAAGAAAAACAGGGTTCACTTTTAAATAAATAAATAAATGAAATGAAGAGAAATAGAGGCAGTAGAATATATAGGTGTGCTTGGTTGTGTTCTCACTCTTTTGGCAGGAGGCCTTGGCTATTCTTGCTGTTTCTCTGTAAGGTAATTGATGTTTGTGCCCACTCTGATACAGGTGAACGCCCATATGAATGTGACATCTGCAGCAAGAAGTTTATTGCACAAGGAGCATTGAAGAAGCACCTCAGGACTCACAGTGGTGAGAGGCCCTATGAATGCAAAGAGGTAAGATTTCACCTTTTCACTTTTCATCGGTGTCTGACACAATCTAATCACAATTGGAATTGGGCTGACAGTGTCATCAGAGGTTCACTGCCAAGGAGACTCTGAACCGCCACATGCGAACCCACACAGGGCTGAAGCCTCACACCTGCCAGTATTGTGGGAAGGCATTCATACAGCCTGCTCAGCTCAAGCAACACATCTTCCATCATACTGGTACTGACTTCAAATTTCTTTGGAATATCCAGTCCTCAGCCTTTTATTTTGCAAGTCTATTGTTATCAAAACTTGTATTTTCAGGAGAGTATGGCTTCACATGCAGCCTATGTGGAAAGTCCTTCAATCGCAAGGGACGGTTAGAAAGTCATGTCCGCTTTGTCCACGAAGGAGTCAAGCTGTTCAAATGTGAACAGTGTGACAAGACTTTTGTCCGCAAAGAGGATAAACAGAGGCACATGTATCTTCACACGGGCCTCAAGGGTGAGAGAGAGTTCTTATGACTTCAGAAGTGATTGACTGGGAATTGAGCTTCATGTCTAACTATTGTCATTTGTTTGTTTTTTTTCTAGCTCACAAGTGTCCCATCTGCAATAAGGCGTTTGCATTGAAGCCATCATTGAAGCATCACCTTCTCACTCACACAAGGGTGTGTTTTCATACCCACTGAAATACCATTTAAAATTAAATTATTCCACATAGAAACACCATTTAATTTGTTTAATTTAACACTCAGCTACAGGTCTCATATTATGATTTAAATAGTCCTACATTTTGCTGCACACTTTTCTCATCCTGGCTTTTACTTATGTTGATTGCCTTTGATGTTAATTCTTACATAAATAATTATGTTCATGTAAACATCAGCCCAGCAAAATCTACTGTATGGCAATGGGTTATTCATGCATCATTGGTCATGCATTTTGGAACATGATTTGTTCAAGCTGTCACATGTTAAAAGTGCTCTCAAATAAAAGCTTTGTTTTGCACTGCAGGAACAACCTCGTGCATGTGACGAATGTGGCCGAGCCTTCATCCGCCAGGACTGCTACCTACGTCACATGCGTCGCAAACACAGAGATCTCCTCGAGCATCTTGTTGATGAGGCTAACCGTCAGCGCTGGACCCAGCATCTCCTCTCCCAGAGTCTTGGCAGTTCTGGTGGTGATGAAACAGAGACTTCTGGTGACGGCACAGAAAATCCCCGACCGTCAAAGCCTCCCGAGCCCATGACGGAATCCACGCTCCGAGAATCTTTGAGTGAGCTTCTGTCCCTGTTGGTGGATGAGGTCACGCTCAAAGGATTCGGGTGGCCCGACTGCCCCATCGATGAGGTTCTCGAGGCAGTCATCAAGCGCTGTGGGCACGCTCCTGCCCCACACAATCTCTACGACCTTGCAGGTCGGCTACGTCACAATGCCAAGTTGTTGTTCACCGTCGTCATCGACGATGCGGCAGTCAAGACCCTGTTAAACAACCAGACTGTCGACGAAGTCATCATGCATGTTCTCCGTCTGGCCAAATCATAGTGAGGGTTTTGATTTCAATTGAATGTTTTTGTTGGGATTCCACTTTACATCATGTTGATTTTGTGAGTACAAGGAATCCTGGTTGACAGGGGCCATGTTCCTTGCTAGAAAAGGTCAATTGTGGAATGATGTTGGCATGAATGGAGTCTTCCAGTAGGTATCACATAAAGACATGCTCTTCCAAACCAGATGTAGCTGCATGTATCACTTATTGCTGATTCCTCCATCTACCTACCTGTTTTGTTTCAGTTTTAAAATTATTCTCTGTGTAATGATAGAATTCTCAGCACCTTAGCAGCAGGGCATAGCATCCCATCTCAGGAATGGGGGAGCTATGCTTGTATGTTGCACCTGCTTATTGGGTCATCTTCTCATTGGGCATTTGAAAAAAGAAAGATAAAGTTAAGTGAGCAGTCAGTGCTTACTTCCAATGGCTTGATAGGTACATGCATTGTGATTTTTCCTTCAGGAGCCTTGGGCACTATGAGTGGAGGCAAAAAAGGGGTTTTCAGAAAGTGAGACTAGTTGGACTGACTGTATGCAGAATGTTTTGTTGAGATTCTTGCATATGGAGAGGAGTTAGAGATTTAAAGAGCTCTGACTTGTGTTAGCAAGATTACACCTTCCAGTTCTCTGAAGTGCCTAGTACAAAATTTAGAACTGGTAGATCAATTGAATGGCATTAGTATTGGAAATTTGATGTGAGCATCTCGAGTAGAATGAAACAGGTCAAGTGACCCACATGAATGCCTGTTCCAGGTGCTCCTTGTTGGAATCTTCTTTCATGGAAATGAATGCTGATGACACTTTCTTATATATTTGCATGTAGGAAGCTTCCAGCAGGACTCACAAGCATTATTGTGGAATAAGTTTCTCCTAAAAATTGACTAATGCAATCAGGGAAACTGAAGTTGGATTATACTGATCTGAATGAATCACCAGTGTGCTCACAGAACAGCAAATGCTGCATTTAGTGAATAAAAGGATGCATTCTGTGCAATAGGTGCAGTGAATGAGTATCACCCGAGATGTATTGTTACCCTTTATAGCTATATTATCTTAGCTAAATCACATCCCTGGAACCTTGATCAAGGGGATAAATTTTGACAGGCATTTATTGCACCCACTCATCCTTATATAAAATATCTTGAACCATAAAATTTTTTGAGTGATAGCTGGGCTATCTTGAGCATGCTATAGAAATAGCATTTTATGTTGCTTTCCAACAGCCCTATCAGATAGCTGAATGCCTATGAGGTCACAACAAACGATCAAGAGAGCTTGCATTAAGAGTTCCCCTTACCAGCATGACCTGTAGAAATAGCACACCTGTAGGATCTCAATTGTTGGCTTGTGTTGTACCATCTCCCATCAGGCTTTATCTGAATGTCCTGCTGGTTGCATTCTGTTAGCCTTGGATGTTTCATCACTCTTGTTCCCAATTTTTTTCCTCGTGCATCTCTTCCATATAGTTTATTTTTAGAATACCGTTGTCCTTCGTGAAATGTAAATTCTGTTGGTACAGATGAATACTTTTTGTTCACATTGAAAGCCTTGCATCCATAGAATGAAAAATTCTCTGGCTATTGAGGTCATTGGTAAGATTTTATCAGCGGCATGGAAGATATCCTGCCCTTGTGCCCATGAAAAATTTTGTTATGCACTTCATGTTGAATTTTTTTGCACCTTTTCTCTCGAGTCAGTCTGAAAGAGTCCTCTTTGTTTTGGTCTTTTTTATTATGAAAAAACCTGTTCGTCTGGGAAAGTGTAAAAGAGTGCCTTATTGTGACATTTTGTTACATGATCATCTTCCTGCACATATTTTTTTGTACTATGAATATTTCCCTATTACACAAATGAAGATGAAATGAGTCATCTCGTGTTTCCATAAATTTTTTATTGGCACACGACGCACAACACCATGGTAAACACTTGATAATCTCTATAAAAGTCAAAAACGAATGAGATTCTATCGATTGGTAACTCTTAAAGCAGCACGTGGAGCCCCAAACTTCTCCGACGGTCAGTAGTAGTAGACGAGATAGGGAGGGAACGACGGAATGGAAGATCTCCGCTGCCGCACGCCGAGGATGCGTCGCATCGCGTCGCGCAAGAACCCGATCACGGTCGGTTGAGTGCCGTAGGGCGATCGAGAAACGTACGGCGGAGACTGGAGGTAAGTGGGTTGAGCGTATAAACCGTACGCCGGTTGAGGGGGCTGGACGTACGCCGGTTGAACGGATTGGTCGTACGCCCGTTGGGACTGGACGTTCACCGGTTGCGGGGACTGGTAGAAGAGCCGGGTGGGTTGAAGAGCGACTTGAGGCTGCTGAGGCTCTTGGACCCAAGATGGCAGTTTGAATTCGCCCATCGGCAGCCGGGAGGCCTCGTTGCCTCCCGTCTCGACGCAGGCTTGGCGGCATTCGTCTTCCGAGTAATACCTGAAAAATAATCATTTTATATCTGCAACCATACCACGAGAGGTCGATGCTCGGCGAACGTGCTCAAAAATATGAGTGAGTCTGAATATTCCAGAGAGCCACCGGGATCACCAGATTGACCGGTTCGACCGGGGGAAGTCCCAGTTTCCTGGCGCGTGTCTCATGGACCAAAATTTTTTTTTTTTTTTTTTTACGCTTCAAGGAAACGTCATTTCCAAAAACTAGGCACACTTTCTCAGCCAACTCCCGAGTGAACGCATGTGATTTCCCTTGGGGTCGCTGCGTTGCTCATAAGCTTGTGCCTTCAATATTGAGCCTCGTCTTTATTCCTCGGGGGAAGAGGGAGCTTCGTACATTTTGACTCATGCCACAGGTGAAAGTGTTGAATTTATTTTATTTACACGTTGAATCGCGCAAAACGTTCACGTGATTCCCTTTCACGAAGATCGCTTCTCTCCCCGGCGAGACCGAAATCTTCCACCCAAAACGCACAATTCGAACGGTAAAATAAAAAAAGAAAGGAAAACAGAAGACCTCTCTCGAAGGCGACGGCAATCCCCGAAAGGAAATTTCGTGAGACTCACGAGTCCCCTTTCGGTCACGAGCGGACTCCCATCTTATTTCCTGGAATTTCCGATTATGGACTCAAGAGAAACTCAGTCGCGGATGGATCCGAAGGAGAAAGTGAGGAAGCCGCCCCCCCCCCCCCTGGCCGTCCCCCCTGTTCGCCCCACGTGCCTCGGGGCCACCCCATTCTGTCTCCTTCCTCTTTGCATTGTGGCTTTTTGCATTTGGAAAGGCGTCTGAAACTCGGGGCGTGCGCGAATCGTAGGCGGAAAAAAAAAAGTCAAAGCCTTTCTCTCTGCTCTATGGCGAAACGGCAAAATTAAGCTAATTTTCAGAGCTAGCAAATTATGACAAATATGGTTCCGGTCGTAAATGGCACCTTCGAGGTAGGACTTCATTTTCTGCTCAAAATGCAGAAAGAACTGTATGTTGTCTTTTTTTTTCACTCAGAAAATAATAAATATTTATTACTCATTTCCGCGAAATTATGCTATTAAATCCCACACAGCCCTCCAAAATCCCCATCTTTCCGAAAAAAAAATCCATTCGACCTCAAACGACACGAGAATGAATCGCTTTAATTTTCGCTCCTGGTTCCCCGCTAAAACCCCGTCCACCCCTCAGAAAACCCCAGGAAACCCGACAAACCGAACAAACCCAACGACTCGGCAATAAAAAATTTATGGAAACACGAGATGACTCATTTCATCTTCATT